GTGAGAAATGCGGGTCTAGCTTCAATGGTATAATCCAGCGCCATGAACGAGGCGGTCAGCAAGCATTGGGGGTTGGTGGCAGGCCAGACAGCCGTCGTGGCTATAGCCCTGCTGGCTCATTCCCAGGCGGCAACCTCTGGGGACAACAACCTCGTGGTCAGCGGGCGCCTGGTGTGCCTGGGGCCCGATCTGCAGGAAACCTCCTGCGAGGGCGCCGGCACCCGGTTGGCCCTCAGAGCGGCCGCCGGGCCAACGCTATCCGCTGGCTGCCGGCGAAGCCGCCAACACCCTCCTCCAGGAAAAACGGCTGAAGACACGGGAATTCCGGCTGACCTTGAGAACCCTGGATGGCGGCAAGACCTTTCAAATCGTCAAATCGCAACTGATCCGCGCCGGCAAAGTCTACGATTTTCACTACTTCTGCGAGATCTGCAACATTACCACCTACGCGCCCGGACCCTGCATGTGTTGCCGGGCCCCCACCGAGTACCGCGAGGCGCCAGCCAAGCCATAGAAAACAGTTGGAACCGGCGAGGCGGCGAACACCGGAACCGGGCTCTACCGGGAGGCCGTCTCCGGGGAGGCATCCTCCACAGACTGATGGAGATAGTTGAGCACGTCCCGGACGGAGACGATGCTGAGGGGGTGTCCGGAGCTGACCACGGGGATGTGGCGAAATCCCCCTACCGACATCTGGTGGAGGACAAAGCGAATGGAATCCTCTGCCTCCGCCGTCACCGGTTTGGGGGTCATGACCTCAGAGGTTCTGATGGAACTGAAGGGACGTTCCATTCCCCCGAGTTTGTAGAGCACGTCTCGTTCTGACAAGATACCCACCAGGGTTTCCCCTTCCACAACCAGGACGCACCCCACACTTTTGTCCTTCAGGAGTTGGACTGCCTCCTCGACCGAAGCCTCTGGCGAGACGGTGACCGCAGGTTTGGGCTTCAGGTCGGCGACTGTATCCTCCATGAACCGCTTCTGCAGCCCGGCGGTAGGCAAAGGGATGTCCAACTTGCTGAGAGGCAATAGACAGTCTTCGCACCGGTCCGCCCCGGGAAGATTGACTGAGCCGCAGGCAGGACAAATCATGGGATTTCTCACCAAAAAGCAGGCCTTGAGGGTGTCTCCATCCCCCTCAGGCCACTAGCCTGCATTTCTCACCGGGGGGTTGCACTCTTCTCAAGAGTGCAACTTGGCGCAGGAATTTGTCCCTCAGCGCGTGCTCGCGAGCGAAGAGCGTAGCCGGCACTACGTTCGAGCGAGCCTATGCGCGCTGAGGGGAAAAGGACAAGCCAGAGCGTGCCCAGCGCCGTCTGTACCCGCATGCCCTTTAGTTGGGGCGAATTAAGGATTTGAAGATTAACTCCTTTTCATTATGAATCCAGCGGCCCGGTGAGAAATGCGGGCGAGGCCAAGGGCCAACCTAGGGCTGTCCCGCGGGCCCCTGGGAAGGAGCGAAACGGGAAATCTAGTTCACCACCCAGACATCCCCGCTGTTGAGCAGTCGTTCCAGATCCCCGGCTCCCGAACGGCTGATCGCGTCCTCCACCTGGGCTTCCATCAACTCATCGTAGGTCGGTTTAGCCACGGAGCGGAAAACTCCCAGAGGCACGGGAAAGTCGGGATACTCCATGCGAGCCAGCAGGTTCGCCAGATGGGGCTCCGGGTCATGGATATCGTGCATCAGCAGGTCCGTTTCGGGAACTCCCTGGCGAAGTTCCACCACCTCCAGCTTGAGGCCATTCAGCCGAATTCCCTTGTCCCGGTCCCTGCCAAATACCAGGGGCTTCCCGTCTTCCAGACGGATGGTGCGATCGTCCCGAACTTTCCGCTCCGAGAAGTGCTTAAAAGCCCCGTCATTGAAGATGTTGCAATTCTGAAACACCTCCACGAAAGAAACCCCCTTGTGGTGCGCCGCCTGGGTAAGGATTGAGGAGAGGTGCTTCACATCCACGTCAATGGAGCGTGCGACGAAGGTGGCTTCGTTGGAGATTGCAATGCACAAGGGGTTGATCGGATAGTCGATGGACCCGTCCGGAGTGGATTTGGTCTTCTTGCCGAACTCGGAAGTCGGAGAATACTGGCCCTTGGTCAAGCCGTAAATCCTGTTATTGAAGAGAATGATGTTTATGTCCAGATTTCTGCGAATCGCATGCATGAAATGGTTGCCGCCGATGCTCAAGGCATCTCCATCCCCGGTAATCACCCAGACCGACAGCTCGGGACGGGAGGCCTTGATGCCGGTAGCCAAGGTCGGGGCCCGGCCGTGTATTCCGTGAAAACCGTAGGTATTCAAGTAGTAGGGGAAGCGGCTGGAGCAACCGATGCCGGAAACAAAGACAAAGTTTTCCCTGGGGATATTCAGCTCGGGAAGCATCTTCTGAGTCTGGGCCAGAATGGAGTAGTCCCCGCAGCCCGGGCACCATCTCACCTCCTGGTCGCTCACAAAATCTTGGCGTCTCAAGGGAAGCACCGCCAATCCCTTCTGTCCTCTGTTGCCGTCATTGTTCATAGTTGGCTGGTCCTGCTCCTGGCTGGGTCCCCCAAAGCGGTCGGCCCACTGTCCACCCTCGGGGATCAGAGCATCTCTCCAATTTTTTGACGCAGTTCGGAAATCTTAAAGGGGAGGCCTCGCACCTGGTTGAAACCGACGGCATCCACCAGATAGCGAGACCGCAAGATCATCAGCAATTGACCCAGATTAAGCTCGGGCACCAAGACCTTGTCAAATCGAGAGAGAACCTCTCCCAAATTCCTGGGAAGTGGATTCAAGTATTGCAAATGAACGCTGGAGACGGAGTGGCCCTGCTCCTGCATGCCCTCCACGGCAGAGGTGATGGCCCCGTAGGTCGAACCCCATCCAACCACCAGGACCTTTCCTTCCGGCTTCCCGAAAACCTCCGCCCCAGGAATGACGTCGGCGATGCGGGCAATCTTTTCGGCACGCAGGCGCACCATGAAGTCATGGTTGTCGGGGTTGTAACTGACGTTTCCGGTGACATCCTGTTTCTCCAGCCCGCCGATGCGATGCTCCAGCCCCGGAGTGCCCGGGATTGCCCAGGGGCGGGAGAGGGTCTTCTTATCTCGCAGATAGGGTTGAAACCCCTCGGCCTCCGTCCTGAAGCGGACGTCAATGTCGGGAAGGTCTGCCACTAAGGGAATCTTCCAGGGCTCCGACCCGTTGGCCAAATAGCCGTCGGAGAGGAAGAAGACCGGGGTCATGAACAGGGTGGCCAAACGAAAGGCCTCGAAAGCCATGGTGAAGCAACCGGATGGAGTAGCCGGCGCAACCACTGCCACGGGACACTCCCCGTTCCGTCCGAACAGGGCCTGCAGCAGGTCCGCCTGCTCGGTTTTGGTGGGCAGACCCGTGCTGGGACCGCCGCGTTGAATGTTGGCGATGACCAGTGGCAGTTCCGTCATGACGGCCAGCCCGATCGCCTCCGATTTGAGGGCGACTCCCGGCCCGCTGGTTCCCGTAAGCCCCAGGTGACCTGAAAAGGAAGCACCAATGGCGGCGCCGACAGCCGAAATCTCGTCTTCCGCCTGAAAGGTCCTGACGCCGAAATTCTTGTGCCGGGACAGCTCGTGAAGGATATCGCTGGCGGGAGTGATGGGATAGCTGGCATAAAAAAGCGGCAGTCCGGATTTCTTCGAGGCCGCGATAAACCCGAAAGCCGTGGCCTCGTTCCCGGTAATATTTCGGTACTTGCCAGGAGCCAACTTGGCCGTGCGAACCCGGTAGTGGTTGGTGAAGAGCTCGGTGGTGTCGGCGTAGTTGTATCCGCTTCGCAAGGCCAGGGTATTTGCCGCCAGGATCTGAGGCTTCATTTTGAATTTGCCTTCGATCCAGGAGAGCGTCGTCTCCAGGGGACGGTCGTAAAGCCAATAGGTTATTCCGAGAGCGAAGAAGTTCTTGCACCGGTCCGCATCCCTCCTGGGAAGGTTCAACTCCTGCAGCGCCTTGCCGTTCAACTCAGTCAAAGGAACGGCAATCAGTCGATAACCCGACAGGCTCCCGTCCTCCAGGGGGTTGGACTTGTAGCCCGCCTTCTTCAGATTCAGGGGCAAAAAGGAATTGGAATTGGCAATGACAATGCCCCCGGGCTCGAGGTCCGACAGGTGCACCTTGAGAGCCGCCGGGTTCATGGCCACCAGAACGTTGGGCTGATCCCCCGGAGTCCGAATGTCTCGACTGCTGAAGTTGATCTGGAATCCGCTCACACCCGGCAGGGACCCGGCGGGCGCACGAATCTCAGCCGGAAAATCGGGGAGGGTGCTGATGTCGTTCCCAAAGACCGCCGAGGTATTGGTGAACTGGGTTCCGGTCAACTGCATGCCGTCACCCGAGTCTCCGGCAAATCGGATGGTTGCGTTTTCGACCTCGACGATGGCTCGGGCCGGTTTGTGGTCTTTTTCGGTGGTTATGACAGGCACGGCGGTTGAGATTTTCGCTCCTTGAAGCTCAACTTCCCAAATGAGCCACGATGCTGGCGGAATCCATCCTCAGGCTCCATCCGGCTCGGCGAAATTCTGATGGGGCCTCGGCGGAAGGGAGAACACCTCCTGGGGATAGCATTCCAACAAATAGTCAACGATGTTGATCACGGACAGACAATCACAGACCCGATCAGCCGAATCGACCAACGGAATATGGCGGTAGCCTCCCTGGTTCATCAGAAGAACCGCCTCCAGCAGAGAATTGTCCGGACTCAGGACGGCCACCTCCGGCGTCATGAAGTCACGAATCGGCCGGTCCAAGCCAACCTGGCTGCATCGGGCCACCTTGCGAATCAGATCCCTCTCGGTAAATATTCCCATGAGACTCGATTCCACCACCACCAAAGCACAGCCGTTGCGCTGTCGCTGCATGGTTGCAATGGTCTCTCCCAAACTCGTATCCGGGGCCACACAAACCATTTCCTTCAGTTGCAGGTGCCGAATTTTGGTCTGGCGTAGGGTTAATTCAACGCTCATCGCTTCAAACCCTGCATTCTCGGCCATCCCCAGCCCGAAACCATTGAGCCCAACTAGCTAGCCTCATCATAACACATATTTACCGCCTTCGATGGGGCAAGCGAACCGACCCGCCAAGTCGCAGCCGGACGGCATTTGTCCTACAATCCTATATCTTTCCGCTTGGGGCATTGAAGAAACCTCCCGGTGTTCAGATCTGCAAGTGTTCGCCTTCCCCGGGAGTCGCGCGACCGCTCTGGATTTCCTCGGCCTCACAAACCTGATGAGTCGGGACCCCGGGTATGGACGTTCAGATCAATCGACCACCAGAACGGCTGCTCCCTGAACATTTCCCGACCGTAGCGCCGACAGGGCCTGGTTGGCGGCGGTCAGCGCAAAGGGACTGACTTGAGTCCCGATGGCGATTCGGCCCGCCAACCCCAGAAACTCCTCGCCATCGCGCCGGGTGAGATTGGCGACCGAGCGCACCACCCGCTCTCCCCAGAGAATCGAGTAGGGGAAAGGCCGGAATATCGCTCATATGGATACCGGCGCAGATCACCGAGCCCCCTTTGGCCACCGCCTTCAGAGCTTCCGGGACCAACTCGCCGGCGGGTGCGAAGATAATGGCCGCATCCAGCGGCACCGGAGGCCGCTGACCCGATTCACCGGCCCACGCCGCCCCTGAACGGAGGGCAAACTGCTGGCCGGCTCTATCCCCGGCCCGGGTGAAGGCATAGACCTGCCGACCCTCATGGAGAGCCGCCTGAACCAGAATATGGGCTGCCGAGCCGAACCCGTAAAAGCCGACGCGTTGAGCCTCGCCGGTCATCTTCAAGGACCGGAAGCCGATCAGGCCGGCGCACAACAGCGGGGCCGCCTGAAGATCGGGATAGTCCGGTGGGATCGGGAAACAGTAGCGCTCGTCAGCGACCGCGAACTCGGCGTAGCCTCCGTCCCTATGATACCCCGTGAACCGGGCGCGATCGCACAGATTCTCTCTGGAGGACCTGCAGTAGCCGCACCGGTTGCAGGTCCAGCCCAACCAGGGGACTCCCACCCGGTCTCCCTGACTCAGTCGGCTGACTCTTCGACCGCAGCCGGCCACCGTTCCCACGATCTGATGTCCGGGAACCAGGGGCAACTTGGCCTCCGGGAGCTCCCCGTCCCAGGATGTGGAGGTCGGTCCGGCAGACCGCGCAGGCACGAACCCGGAGGAGGACCTGGCCCGGCCCGACCCGGGGCCTGGGCAGATCCCTTTCAACCAAGGGTTGCCCCGGAGTCTCCAGAACCATGGCCTTCATGATGAAGCTCCAGCTGCTAGAATGTCGCAATCGGATTCAGAGGAGAGCCGGTGGCGCCCGGCACCGCCAGAGGAGCCACGGTCATGAGAAACTCCCACCGCCGGCGGGATTGGGCGGCCTCGCCGACAGCTTCCAGATCCATTACGTCCAGGATGGGTGTCCCCATCCCTGCAATCAGGACCATGTGAACCGGCAGGAAGGATCCCTGGACTTGCGAGGGCATGACGTCGGTGGCCAAATCACTGCCGACGATGGCCACATCGCGCTCTTTCAGCCAGGGCAGGCAGGAGGCGTGCAGACCGGCCGAATTCTGCATGATGTCCCATGCGCCCTCGGCCCGCCGCCTGGCCCAGCGTCCGGTCCGCAGCAACAGGGCATCCCCGGAGCCCACGCGGACTCCCGCCTTCTTTTCCCAGGCTTCCAGATCTTCAGGATAAATCGCTTTGTCCCCGGGCAGATAGTCCAAACCCCACAGGCGGGGCATATCCATGAGAACGGCCCGGGTAAAGATGCCGTTTTTCAGGGTGTGGACCGAGAGCTTGCCCGCTCCACTCCGGGTGACTTCGTCCTTGGAGAAACCGTTGTACATCTTCCCCTGGTAAAAGAAGTGGCACAGAGCATCCATATGGGTGGTGGTGAATCCGTGGTAGCTTACGGCGAATCGATCGTTGGCCCCCACGGAGTCGGGCTTGAAACTCTCCGGCAACATCTCGTGTTCGAAGGGGGGCGAGCCATCCTGCTCGACCTTGATCGCGTCGTGGGCCATCGAAACAGAGACGCCCTCCTTCACCAAGGCCGCCGCCTGTTTGCGCTTTTCGGCCGTGATCAGGTTGATCGTCCCCAGTTGGTCGTCCGCCCCCCAACGACCCCAGTTGGCAAGCGAGGTCATCATCCGGTCGACGTCCTTGCTGGTCAGGCTTTTTGAACTCCGACAGACAATGACCGAGGCCGTCACCGTCAACAACAGCAAATGGCTGATAACAACGAATCGGGACAGTTTCATCTTCTTGATCCTCCCATTGGAACAGCGCTTCATCGCCAGGACCTCTTCCGTCTATTGCTCCGAATAACAATCCTCCTCAAGCCACCACGAACTCAGAGGCCGATTCATCCCTGAGATCTTGTGCTTCAATAGTTTATCGATGCCCATCCCTCTCTTCAATTTTTTTGCCCGCCGAGGCGGACGAAATGGGAGCTTGAGACTTGGCGTATAATGAAGCGTGGAAGGTTGATTTGGAGATTGGTCCCCAGCCCACCTGTCAATCCTGCCAAACCCGGAAGGCGCCAACCCTCTCTCAGGCTGATGATTCATCGATCCGTACCCTGGTCGGGAACAAAAAAGCCATAGTTTCGGGGCTGGCGGAAAGGGCCACCCACGGACGCGGCCTCTGCCGCCTCCTCAAGCAGGCCGCGGTTGGATGCATTCCATCGCCCGAGTTGCACTCGGTCGCCGCGGCTTCACCGCCGCCGGAACCCTCCCGAATATTCATGGGTGACTCCCGTGGATGCCTCCCGGCCCAGTGGACAGATTCTCTCCGGCGACCGTTTTGGGGGCAGGCCAGCAAACACAAGAGAAACCGCATGTTATCGAATCGAGAAGATTTTAAGTTTTTTGCCTATTTGAGTATCAGCGCCTTGCTGAGCTTGACCATGTGGATGCTGATCCTGGTCCCGGACTACCTGGCTCATCAGGGATGGTCGGCCCAAAAGATCGGTTGGGCCATGGGACTGTTCTTCGTCGTATCTCTCTTCTCCCGAATCTATTCAGGCCACCTGGCCGACCACATCGGAAACGTGCCCACGGCGCTGATTGGTACCGCTATGGCCCTGACGGGGTGTCTCTTCTATTGGGCGGCCCTCAGGTTGCCGGATGCTATTTTCGCCGCTCGCGCCCTGCACGGAGGCGGCGCGACCATGGTCTCGGCAGGGGCGCTTTTTCACCTGGTGCAGTCGGTACCTCAGAAACTCAAGGGGCGGGTGATGGGCTACTTTGGCCTGCCGGGATTCGTGATGATGGGAGCCGGACCCTCTATCGCCGAAGCCTTGCAAAATTTTTGGGGCATGGCCGGAACATTCACGCTCCTTCTGGCCGCCTTTGTTACGGTTGGAGTCATTCTCAGCCGCGTACCCCGTCCCCTGGCCCCCAGAGGAACCCGGCGCGAACCCTTCAGCCGGGCCTTCAAAGCCAACTTCCCCAACTTGAGGGCGGTCATCTTTTTCTCCTTTTGCTTCGGTTTGGGTTTCTCTTCCTGGAACAGCTTTCTGGCCCCAACGGTGAGCTGGATCGGCGCCGGCGCCATCTCCGCTTTTGGCTTGGGCTATGGTTCGGGCGCCTTCACCACTCGTCTGAGCATCAGTCAACATCTGGATACAGGGAAAAGACGGGGGATTGCCATTTCCAGCCTGGCTCTCTACGGGCTCGGCCTTGCTTTGATTCCTCACGCCGACCATGCCTGGCAACTCGGACTGCTGGGATTCTGCTGCGGGATGAGTCACGGCGTCTACTACCCTGCCCTGAGCTCCATCGCGGCGGAACGGTTTCATCCGCTACACACCGGCAACGCCATGAGCCTCTACCTGTCCGCGTCCAGTCTGGGGATGTTTCTGGGCCCGCCCCTATGGGGCTTCATTGGCGACCGGCTGAGCAACCTTTGGATGTTTGCGGCGGCGGGTGCCTTTATGATCTGCGCCACGGCAGCCTTTGTGATCTCCCGTTCCTGGCCCGCGGCCAGGAGGCTGATTTGGGCGACGACCTCCCACTGAATTCTTCAAGATTGAGGTTAAAATAATGAAGCCCGAGGCCAAAAGGGCGAGAGACAACTATTTTTCAACATCCGGGGAGAAGAATTCATGAAAGCACCAGCCGAGCTGTATCGCGAGACGGCAACCGAGCCGGGCAACACCCAGCCGGGCCCGTTCGACGAACTCGACACCGTAACCGTTCTGATGCCGATGCCCTTTCGGGGAGGACTGTTGGACCGGCGAGCCCATGCCAGGAACGTGGACTACCTGCTGGGCAACTGCTTTCTTGACGAAGGGAGGCGGCGCGTCGTCGGGATCGGCGGGACCAGCTTGATCCACCACCTCGACAGGAGCACCCTGTTGGAACTGGTTCGCTCGACCGGCCGCCAGTTGGGCGACGAAGCGCTTTTCATGGCGGGGGTCATTCCGACACCTCCGTCCGAGGCCAAGCGATTCATCCAGGACTGCCTGAGCCTGGAGAGACCTCCCGACTACTTTCTGCTCATGCCCATTCCCGGTCTGTGCAACCCCGAGGGCGTTGAAGTCGAGCTTGCCGCTTTATCGGAATACTTCCAAAAGCGAGGAGCGGGACGCTTCGTCCTCTACCTGCGCACTGCCCGCCTGAACGGGGCCTATGCTAAACTCGCCACCAGATTAGCCAACATTGCCGGCATCAAGGTGGGGACCGACCCCGGAGACGTGGAGGTGCTGCAGGCTGCAGTGCCCCGCTCCAAGAGGGTGCTTTGGGGAGTGGGCGACCGGGTGACGGCAGCCGCACGGTTGGGCGCGCGGGGTCATACCTCCGGATTGACGCTGATCTGCCCCCGACTTTGCGATGCGATCAACAATGCCTACCGGCGCCGGGACTTCGAAACCTGCGCCGAACTGGAGCAAGTGGTTTCGGGTCTTGAAGAGATTCGATTCATGGAGGATCGGATCTACAATTACTGCGCCGTGGTTGCCGCCGGCCAACTGGGTGGATTTCAGGACATTGACCTGGGAGAAGGGGGACCGTTCAATGCCCCGCCACCGCCACCGATCCTGCAGCAAATCGCTCACTGCGTGGAACGGTTGAAACCCTACCACTGAGCACTGGGCAACCAGCTGGGGCCAAGGCAGACCAATCCCCCAAATCGGCAGCAAGAAGACCAATCTCCCTCGACCGGGTGCAGGAATGACCGGAAATTTCCCAGGACTCACCAGCAACCGCCAAGCGTCCGAGGTCGGCGCAGAGCTTCCCAAGAGCCCTTCGGAATCCGAGGTCGCCATCCTGGAGCAGATTCAAAAACGAGTCCTGTGGCTGAGTATGCAGATCGTGCACTACGCCAATTCCCTGCGGGAGAACGGCAACGGCGCCAAGGTGGGCGGGCACCAGGCCAGTTGCGCCTCCATGGTCAGCTTGATGACGGCTCTCTATTTCCACTCCCTGCGATTTGGAGACCGGGTCTCCGTCAAGCCTCACGGCTCTCCGGTATACCACGCCATCCAGTATCTTCTGGGCAACCTGTCCGAGGAGAAACTCCGCCAATTCCGCAGCTTCAAGGGACTTCAGTCCTATCCCAGCCGTACCAAGGACGTGGACCAGGTCGACTTCTCCACCGGGTCCGTAGGCCTGGGAGCCGTTGTCCCCAACTTCGCCCGGCTGACCCGACAGTTCGTGCGGGACCATTTCGGTTATCCCCGCCGCAACCGGTTCATTGCCTTGATGGGCGATGCGGAGTTGGACGAGGGCAACGTGTGGGAGGCCCTGGGCGAGGAAACGCTGCAGGACCTGGGGCAGGTCCTCTGGATCGTCGATCTCAATCGCCAGAGTCTGGACCGCGTCGTCCCCAGCGGCAAAGCCCAGAAGATCGAGGAGATGTTTCGCATCAATGGCTGGCGAGTGCTCGAGTTGAAGTACGGCCGGAAACTGGAAGAGGTCTTCAGCCGTCCCCACGGTGAGAAATTGAGACAGCGGATCGACCTGATGAGCAACGACGAATATCAGAGTCTGCTGCGTATCGAGGACGGCGACCGGATCCGACTTCGGCTGGCCGACGCTCCCGGCGGCCAGGATGAGGACCTGCTGGAATTGTTGAGTAACTTCTCCACCGACGAAGTCAAGCCTCTGCTGGGTGATCTGGGTGGCCATGACTTGCGCAAAATCCTGACGGGGCTGGACGAGGCCGACCGGATCACCGACCAGCCCGTGGTCATC